AAAAAAAAAAAAGTTAATACTAGGGCCAGCCAAATAGCTCAGCACATTGAAGCGCTTGCTTAGTCAGATGGAGGGACCAGGAGTTAGATCCCCTGGTCTGCCATGTTGGCCCCACCCCCAAGTTACCCTGAGACTGCCACTGGGACTGGGCATGGTGGTGCACGCCTGAAATCCCAGCATTTGGGAGGCTGTAAACAGGAGGATCGCTATGAATCCAATCTACACAATGAGACCCTGTAGATCCTGCCCTAAAAATACTACAAAGTAAGTTAGACTGTGGTGTTTTTGTAGTGTAAACACAGCACTGAGCATTTCCAAGACAAATTCAGACAAATTATCATAATTACAGAGGATGATCATAAAATACAGTAAATGTTTAAATCTTTAAAAATTATGACCGTGGGCTGGTGAGATGGCTCAGTGGTCTAAAGCACCTACTTAGAACAAGCTTAGGGGCTGGTGAGATGGCTCAGTGGTCTAAAGCACCTATTTGGAACAAGCTTAGCAAAGCACAGGGACCGTGGTTCAATCCCCCAGCACCACATGCCAGCCAGCAGCGCCCCCTGGTGGGCTGAGCTGGCCACACACACACACACACATAAAATTTTAAAAAAAATTATGACAGTGAAAAATGCATTGCCTATTCTGTCCCCTTTACTTCAAACGTACCCCATTGTTTTAACAGCATCTCTTTATTATAACAAGGTTTTTTCACTTTATACGTATTCACATTGTCTTTTGATCATCCTTTGTGCATTATTAATGTATTGAGTTTGCAGACAAAGAGCTTCAAATCACTTGAGTTCTTAAGCTATGACCAGAAAACCAGAAGATTTGATAGTATAAATATCTTGTAGGGTTTACTGTGTCCATAGCCAACAGATACTAAGACCATAAAATTAGAAGATACTGCCTAACTTGCTAAAAAGGGCTATTGCTGAATGGTAGCATGCTTACCTAGCATATGCAATCTAGACTCAATCGCCAGCATTACAAAATTTTTTAATTTAAAATGCATACAAGGCCAGCCAAATGGCTCAGTGGATTAAAGTGCCTGCAAGCAGGCATGGGCCCAGGGTTCTATCCCCGGGCCTGGACTGCTGTGCCGGCCCCACCCCCAGGGTGTGCTGAGGCAGCAGTTGAGACGGTGGTGTACCTGAATCCCAGCTCTTAGTAGGCTGTAAACAGGCAGATCACTTACGAGTCCAATCTAGTAGTGAGACCCTGAACACCCTGTAAACCCTTCCCTAAAATACAAAAAATAAATAAAATGCATATAGCAAAATTCCCCAGTTTCACCCTTTGGTACCAAGGATCAAACTCAGGACCTTATACTTGCCAGGCAGGTGCTTATGCTGCTGAGCTATCCTCCCAAACAATTTAACCATTTACAAGTGTTAGTATGTTTGTTCTGTAATCTCTAAAACTCATGTTACTGTAGTGTCTTAACTTGATGTGGATTTGTCAGACATCTGCTTTGGTACACATAATCTTCAACTGAGGTTGAGAAATAGGTAAATGTGGAGCTCAGTGGTAGTCTTCAGTTGTGATGAGACATTTTGAAAACAGAAATCTGATTATTGTGAAATACAGCAGATGCATAAGTGTATATTTAGTCATTTACCAAAGTAGACAATTAGGCAACCGTAACTCAAGTGGAGAGGACAGTGCTGTGCCAGGATTCCAGAGGTTCCCTAAACCCCTCCTAGCAACTGTTCTGTCTCTCTTGCCATCCAAAAGGTAACCACTCCTACCTTCTATGGTAGTAACTACTTTGATTTGTGCTTTTACCTCTTATGTACGTTTCAAGCTGTTTAAGTATACCTATTCTTTAAACTAGGTATATATATTTTTGTGTTTAGATTCTTTGGTCAGTATTTGTGAGATTTATCCAGGTTGTTGGAAGCAAATGTTTAATTTTCATTGATACATATGTTCTCTTGTGTCAGTACTTGTTGGGAAATAATTGCTGAAGATGAAACAAAAGAGACAGAAAATCAAGTCTTGCAGATAGGCACCATATGCCCCACTCTTGAGCGTACTGAGCCAGCAACCAAATCCAGGAGTGGTGGTACATGCCTGTAATTGTAGCACTGGGAGGCTTGAAAACATGAGGATCACTACAAGTCGGAGCTGTGTAGTGAGACCCTGCACACACACACACACACACACACACACACACACACAAAATATATATATATATATATATATATATATATATATATATATATATATACCTCAAGGCCTTGATATGTCTTCTCCAGGAATGTCTGACCACAGGCAGGGCCATGACACACTAGAACACGATGAGCTTCGAAAGATAATTCAGTGACCTCAGCAGCAGCCATGAAGAGAAAGATGAGATAGCATCAAGATAAAGAAAAACACTACTGATACTGAGGAAGATCTGGAGAGACAGCTGCAGGACAAGCTGAGTGAGTCACCTGCACGGCACCAAGAATATGAAAGAACCAGCCAACTAGGTATGGGAATTCAGAAACATTGATAACATGAAAGGCAAGCTCCAAGAGACCCAGGAGTAGGCAAAGCCACAAGAGGATCTCATCATCAAAGTAGAGAACCTGGCTCTCAAGAACAGGTTTCAGAGTGGTGCTGGATGAACTCAAAAGCAAGACCAGGAAAAGGAGCAACTAACTCAGCTCTTTGCAAGAAAAGGTAGAATCACTTTTAGAGAAGTAAGGATATTGTTACATCCAGTTGCCAGGCTGGCCAGTGATAGAAAAGTCTTGATTATATTATACTGGATATCAAGAGCTAGTATTTTTCCCTCTAATGCTAGAAGTTGAAGTATTTTAGTTGCTTTTAGAACCAACTTGCTATGTATTTTCTTTGTGCTCATTCTTCACAAAATAGGATTATGTTGCAGATTTTTTTAAGTGAAATAAAAGTTTTATTTTTTTAATTTTTTTATTTTATTGAGAAACAGCAATGAGACAGTTTCAAAAATGATAGGACAGTTTCAATAATTAATACATTGCATATTACCTTCTTAGTAGTTATTCATAGTACAAGATGCATACATGATATCCTGTCCAAATACTATTAGTATAAATCTTTCTTCTCATTCAATTAAGAGAAAGTAGCTGTATATGTATCCTATTTTGTATATACAGATGCAAAATGGTCCTTCCTTTGTATCCCCTTTTTTTGTCTAGTTTTGTTAGACGGGTATTCCATTGCCATTTAAATATTGTAAGTGTGTGAATTCAGCAAAATGATCCAATATAAAGTAGTCCATAATAGTAGTGGGTTTTCTGTAGGACTGGCAATGTCAGAAGTTGTTGACTTGAGCCTTTCACAGCTCAGCATATTAATACGGCTTTACTTTTTATGCCTCATTTTTATACTTTTCTGCTGGGTTGTTAAGACCAAGATAAAACAAGACCTATATAACAAGAAATGTATCTTTTGTATCTGATAAGGTCAGTCAAGTCGACTCAGGATTTATCCTGTAACCCTGTACCACAGTTTGTAGCTCCTTTGTTGGT